TAATGAGTTTATGTGAACACAAACATATCGCCAAATTAGTTTTGGAGAAAAGAGTTTGGTAATTTGAACAGGAACATGGACAGTTTCAAACCACAGCAGAAAGTTTAGTAACCATAACTAACGATGCATTATGAGTTATGGTGCACAGTGGCTAGAATGCAGTACTGCAGGATACTCCTGCAGACTGCCAGCTGCCTGCAGTTTGGCAGTTTGGCTCAAGGTTGACTCAGTCTTCCATCCTTCCGAGGTTGGTAAAAATGAGGACCCAGATTGTTGGGGGCAATATGTTGACTCTGTAAACTGCTTAGAGAGGGCTGTAAAGCACTGTGAAGCGGTATATAAGTCTAAGTGCTATTGTTATTCCTAATGATGCTTACTCCATGCTAATTAGAAATCTAATCCCAATATTTTACAAGCTAATTTCAATTATTGCACTGAGCTAAATTGTAATACGAAACCTAAACATTTTGTTTTGCAAACCATGGTTTATAGAGTGTGCAGGCCATTATAAGCAGGTTTACTCAATATTCCAACCCTAGACTTTTAAACCCACACTAGTGCTCAAAAACGCAAGATGATAGTGTTGTATTGGGTGGATTTACATATTCTGCCCAACTACCGTATATTGTTGTTTGGCTTTGGTTTAATGGGCATGTAAAACCAATCATTGTGTTTTATAACAGAAGCAGCTGAAAGGAGAGTTTTAAAAAAGTAAGATGTAACTATGATTGTGAGATTGAAAAAATTGACAAGACTGTCATTTGACATTTTCTGATCCCACTCCCGTGGTGTATATATTTGTAATTGCAAGCAAAAGTCAAATAAATCCAAACTCCAACCTTGGTAAGAAAAAAATACATATCAGACTGGAGTGTGCATATAAAAATACATATCTTATTTGCTTTTTTGTGGAAATTAAGCATTAAATATTAGTTTAATCTTTGACTATTTTATAAGGATAGCCTTATCCTGTAACAGGATCCTTATCCTGTGATCTTGTTCCTTCATCCTGCATTGAACTTTGTGATTGTATAGGTGATCTGAATTTACAAGTAGTCCTTGTTTAGTGACTGCCTTGTTTGGCGACCATTCATCAGTGATAACAAAAATATGTGAGCAGTCCTCATTTGTATGATCTTTTGTAAAGCAAAGGAAAGCTAAAGTAAGATCATAGGCAGAGTCACAGTTTCACTTAGTGACCGCTTCACTAAGTGATTAAGTTGTGGGTCCCAGTTGTGATCACTTAATGAAGACTACCTGTATCTCAAACTACTTAAGGTAGTTTACCTACAAAATCTGGCATTAGTTGTATCAGTGGTAAACATCAAGGGGGGTGGACAAAACAGCACAGAACTGACATCTTTGACATTTGTTATGGGTTTTATTTATTTATTTTATTTAGTGTTTGTTATTTTATATGTTATTTTGGAAGGTATCAAAAGCTGTAAAGTTTAATTTAGTTTATTGTCATTGCACCTTGTACTACAAAATCAAATGCCATCTTCAGTATACATTATAACTATAAAAATAGAAGTGGCAATGTAAGGGAGGAGAATGAGATAGAGATGTAAGTTATTGACGTTTTATTATATTAAGATACACTAGCTGCCCATGCTTTTCAGAAATGAGAACAACTCTTCCACTCTTCCACCCACCAAGTTGCCAAGAGGACGCGGCATCCATAAAAATTTCCATGGAGCCATTTCTCCTAACCTGAGTGGAACTCATGTTAAGTATGAATTTGTATCTGATGCATTTGATGCCAGTTGAGCTACAGCTCTGTCTGTTGATTAGATGCTGTGCCACACCAAAATTGGAATTAAAGAACCTTCAGGGTGCGTATTAGGATGTTTCATTGCTAGTGGATTCATTGTGGTCATAAAACAAATTACAATGCAGCCCCGCTAGAATTCATCTCTTGTAGAAAAGACAAGTGGAATGGATGGATTACATTTTCAAACTTTTACTAAGTGGATCTATATATTGTAGATGTTTGAAAGTTTAGTATAAACAGGACTACTGGATTTGTAGAAAGAAAGATTTCTTTCCTTGTATTTCCAGTAAGAGCCACAGTGGCGCAGTGGTTAGAATGCAGTATTGCAGGCTGACTCTGCTCACTGCCAGGAGTTCGATCCTAACCGGCTCAAGGTTGACTAAGCCTTCCATCCTTCCAAGGTGGGTAAAATGAGAACCCAGGGGCAATATGCTGAGTCTGTCAACTGATTATAGAGTCCTGTAAAGCACTATGAAGCAGTATATAAGTCTAGGTGCTATTGCTATTTCCTTGAATAACCAGGTAAGAACACAACATTGTGCAACCACAAGGCTCTCTAAGAAAGCACAGGGGAAGGAGGCTTTTCACAAAGGATATGTTAAGCATCAAGATGTTTAAAGATGTGTGTGGGGGGATAAGAGATTTCTTGATCAGCTTCTGAAATTTCAAAAGTAAGTGCTATCACTGTATCTGATCTAGCCAATATTTCTGTTGTTTTAAAATTGCTGGATTCTTACAACAGATAAGTTCTTATAACAACATATAAATGCATACTTCACTTGAAGGCACTTGACCACACGTGAGTAATTATCAAAACAAGAACAATTGTTTTTAAAAAAGGAATACTCCTTTCAAAGTGAAGGATTAATGTTAATACTGTTAATCTTTAATAAACAATGTTGACCTCTCTCTGTCTCCTGCCACTAACTCCACAATTTCCTAGAGGAGGATCATGATAGACTACAGAAACAGTTGTTGCATATTTATTTATTTATTTTATTTATTTATTAAATTAATTAAATTTGTTTGCTGCCCATCTCACCGCAAGGCAACTCTGGGTGGCTTACAAAATTAAAATATATATTTGAAGGTGCTGATTATTTACATATGCCTAAGCAATTTTTAAACTTTAATTGCTTAGGTTTAATTAATTGTCAGGTTTAAATATTTCTAAATGTTTTCCCTAATCTGGTTGCCTTTCAACTTAAAACTCCCAGATTCCCCTATCTGTATGATCAAGGATACAAAGCTGCAGACAAATGTAATGAAATTTGATTTTCTAGCTATGGTTATCAGGATAACAGCGAAGTCAAACTTTTTCCTACATTTAAAGATGAATTATAATGATAATTTAACTATAATTTTATTAGAGCCCTGGATGAGTTGATCATTATTACAGGTAGTCCTAACTTAGCAATCACACTGGAAACAGCAATTCAGTCATTAAGTAAAGCTGTCACTAAGTGAAACCACAGCTGTGCTGATTATCTTACTTCAGCTTTCCTTTGCTTTATAGACCTGTCAAGATGGGAGGATCAGTAGCAAAGTTACTTTTTCATCACCGTCGTAACTGTAAATGTCGTAACGCTATGAAGCAGTCACTATAAACAAGGACTACTTGTCCAAACCATTTTTCTGAATTAATTTTAGCTTTCGTCCCATAGATATATTTTTTTTAATTTTGATTTATATGCCGCCCTTCTCCGGAGACTCAGGGTGGCTTACAATGCATTAAGCAATAGCCTTCATACTTTTGTATATTTTATACAAAGCCAGTTTATTGCCCCCACAAACTGGGTCCTCAATTTACCTACCTTAGAAAGGTAGCCTGGCAAGATTCGAACTTACTTTAATTGCAGACAGCTGGTGTTAAATTACAGTGCTTTTAGTCTGCAGAGCTATCCAGGCTCCTTGGATTAATGCTGTGAATAAAGAATTGACTGGGTTCATGTCACGTAATTCAAAACTATACCAGATACAGCATGGTCCAGTGCACGGGTATGCAATATGTAAGAGGACGGGCTTATGGCTTGTATCTCTGAGAGAGCCATAAAATGCTATCTGATGATATTACCGCATTATTAGAAGGAGCCAGAATTGGGGGGGGGAAACAATTTTTTTTTTAGGAGTTATAGTTGAAAATTAGAACAGAAGGTCCCAAATCACATCCATTCCAATTCTTTTTTTAAAAAAAGCATTGCCACTAGGTGAGCAATATATTGCCTATATTTCTGGAACCAAAACGAACACATAAATAGAATAATAGCCAAAGAAATAAGGAAAATGACAGCTATTTTCTTTTATGTAGAGAAGATTTTAAAGAACACAGCAAGTTTGCTATGATTAAAGGGAGAAAAACCCAAGACACATTGTTGATAACATTACAAATTAATTTAAAATATTAACCAATAGACAGCCATTTTGTCCTTTTCATAGGAAAACAAATTTGCATAAATCTATTATCATGCATAAAGATTTTACAGGGGGTATGGAAGAGACAGGATAATACCCAATGATGTTTCTGTCTTAAGTCCTTTATTTTTTAAAATGCTGGCTTTCAGCCTTCATATGCATAAGTAATATATTACTAGCTGTAAAATCAGAACAAGAAATTATTCCATTCTTCAATAATTGTTCACTGCCCTCTTCCTTTTACCACGTATCAATTAAACACATTTATGGCCTGATTTATTTCATATGGTGAGTTATAATGTGATTTCTTGAGCTTTGATGTGGTACATCCAGTCAATTATGCCGTATTCTGTCAACCCTATCCTAAAAATCCAGAGTTTAGCCCAATTTATGAAACAGGCCAAGGATCATTATGTTCCAAAAACACATCTGCAGACTTTTACTTAATAAAATGTATTTTGTGTATAGGTGCAACATGATTTTGTAACTGTTAGGAATTCAGTTTAAGAACTAAATATTTTCCCTAATCTGGTTGCCTTTCAAATTAAAATTCAATTTAAGAGCAGAATCTTAGTCTGGAAAAATTCTATTCTTGAGCAATATTTTTGTATAACTGGAAATCTTCCCTTGAACAAGTACTATTTGAGCCAGGAGTGCTATTCAGAAGGTTCTGACAGGTTCTGAAGAACCAGTAGCGGAAATTTTGAGTAGTTTGGAGAACCGGCAAATATCACCTCTGGCTGGCCGCAGAGTGGGGTGGGAATGGAGATTTTGCAATATCTTCCCCACACCCACCAAGCCACACCATGCCCACCAAGCCACGCCCACAGAACCGGTAATAAAGAAATTTGAATTCCACCATTGATTTAAGCCCATAGCAAATAATGATGATGACAATGATGATGATGGTTAATCTAGATTGTTTGAGTCTATAAACCTACCTAGAACTTCTGGTGGAATCTACAACAGCAACAACTGTCAAGATTTCTGGATTTTTTTCCTATACATAATGTCACACTTCTCTCACTATCCACTTGAAAATTTCATTTATACTGCCCTTCATAGGTAATTTTCCTGAAAATCCCTCTCTCCTTAGTCAAACCTATGAACATTATAACCTTGATAAACAGAGAGATGATTACTTGAAAAAAAGATATTCTCCCTATCAGGAGAAAAGGTTGGGTCCATTCAAGTAGTGTTTGAAGAAAACAAAAGGGTTGTGTACATCAGTACAGCAAATATTTCTATAATGTGGGATTGAAAAATGTGCCATGGAATGAATTATCATACACTACGTGGAATTATGTGAGGAGGTGTTGTTTTGCTTTGCAAATCTACCTTGATGGCAATCACCATCAAGGAAAGCATTCAAATCTTCAGATGGACTATTCAACTTTGCCCAGCTACTTCTAAACATTTATGCTTTTCATTTTTTGTGCACATATACGTGTGTGCAGAGAAGACCATCAAAAATCAGCAAGCAACTACATCAAAGGGATTTATTTATTGGATTTGTGAAGCTACCTAATCATCAAATGATGGAAGGATGCTTCACTTGAACTTTGAAACTTTGTACGGGTATACCATATATTTGGCAGCTAACTCTACAAATTAGCCTTAAAACCACTGGTGGGATTCAAAAAATTTTTACTACCAGTTCTGCGGGCATGGCTTTGTGGGCGTGGCAGGGGAAGGATAATGTAAAATCTCCATTCTCACTCCACTCCAGGGGAAGGATACTGCAAAATCCCCATTTCCTCCCAATCAGCTGGGACCCAGGAGGCAGAGAATAGATGAGGCGGGGCCAGTCAGAGGTGGTATTTACCGGTTCTCTGAACTACTCCAAATTTCCACTACCGGTTCTCCAGAACTGGTCAGAACCTGCTGAATACCACCTCTGCTTAAAAGTATTTCAGTCAATAAGCCTAAATATCCATTCTGTGAAACACTTGTGCAAAATCAGGAGCTCTTTCCAGAGAGGAAATCTCTTGCACTGGCATTGTTAGATGTCTCTAGGGACAAAATCTTCTGAAGCAGTATGAGAAATAAACCTCCAGGCATCTGTAAGGTAAAGTAAAAAAAACAGCAGAAAGCAGTGAGAAGAGAGAAGCTACTCTAGCTAGAAGACAAAAAGACACGAGATGCAGCTTTAGAAGAAGTTGCTCTTCTGAGGTGCTTGAAGAAAAGAACAATGATGATCGTGTGGAGGTAGAGGGAGTAATCCGACATCATCAAACAAAACTATGCTACGGAAGCCAACTTTGATTGGCATTGCCAGTCAGCAATTAAAAAAAAAAAATCAAGCAGCTATTGCTAAAGTATATCTAATCGGTTTTGACCTTGGATCATTTAGGTAATTCAAGTATTGAGACCAGGTAGGTGATAGAATAGCACCGTAAATATCCTTGCAGTGGGAGAGGGGATAATATGCCTCCATACAATTGACATGCCACCCCTTTTTAGTGCATAAAATAAAGCAGAGTTTCAGTCCCACCATCAAGGCCACTTTTTTTGATCCTCCTGCATGGACAATCCTAACAGGATTTGGTTTTTTTTCCAATGAATTTTTCTTGACTTCTGTGAGCCGTCTATAACACACCGCACTACTTTATAAGTGAGCATGAATAGGATTTTGGCAAGTGTAGTTAGCTGATTGCTTCCCTCTTCAATCAGCTGGGGACCCATCTAAACTTGTAGCCCCCAGTGGCTGTCCTAACAGTAAAAGCATTGCCTTGTGGAAAGGCCAGTGTCCTAATGTTACAGTGCTCTTTGATGGACGTCTTGAAGGACACCCCTTCCTCAAATTCACTGCCACTTAAGTCCAGGGAACTATGAGTGCTGCACGTCTGCAGCCCATGGAAAGCTCCGTACATGTGGATGGCTTCATTCTCTCCACGAGGACGCTTTGGGCCTCTGTCGTCATCAATGGACTGCAGGGCTGCATTGCATTTTTCCGATATTTCCCTTAAGATTTCATCCACTTCCATGTCCTCCTCAGGCTCAGGAACTGACATCTGCTCAAGGCTTCTCTTGCCGGGGCCACAGCTGAGGGAAAGGTCAGCATTGTCTTTGCTCTGAGGGAGCATCAATTTCTGCCAACAATCAAAAGCACAAATGTTGGAAGACATTAGCTGCACATCATGCTTGCTATTTTATCCCCTAACACACTACATTGCTAAAATTGCTCGTACACTAAAAACAAGTGGAAAATAATTCATTTGGGTACATAGTCATATTTGAATTTTTGTGGGGAATCTCATAAAATGGCTGCCATGGGTGAGGGCTTGTCATTCACAAAATCAGCACATCGAGATAGGAAATCCCATGATCCATTGTATGCTTTCCCTAACCAGTTAATATTGTTTATTAGGCACAACACATAATCACAAACCAAACAGTGGGCCATAGCCACCCACCATTTGCTTTCTTTAAGAATATATATAGAGCAAATCAAAATGATGCTGGAGTTTGGTGTCTCTGAAATAGACCAGATCAGGAAACAGACAGGATTATAGGGATGATATTTTATTTTTGTATCATATAATACATAATCATGAAAGCCTACAAGAGTTTCTCATTCATTCACTCATTCATTCAATCAATCAATCAATTATTTTCTATTTATATAGCTGCCCACCTCACATATGACCCTTTGCTCATCTTATTCCAAATAGAATCAAGACAGACTTAATTTGAGTTTCTTTCTCATGTTTTCCCCTTTCCCAGTACTAAATTGCTGTTTTTCCTCCCTATTGCCCTTCTATGCATTCCTGGAGAATTTATTTATTTATTTTCATTGCTATAGCTGCCCATCTCAGGTAAGTGACTCTGGGCATTGTAAAGTCCTAAAAACAATTTAAAATACAGTATAGTACTGTATAAAGATAAATACATATGGTGGTCAAGGAAAACTATCATTATAAGTGTCCATATGGTCAGGAAACGGAACCCTTCAAACATTTGGGGGCCCAGACCTAAGCAGATAACCAGATTTTCAAGGCCTTATGAAAAGTCACTAGGATCAGGGTCATCCTAACCTCTGAAGAGAGGATATTCCAGAAGGCAGGGCCTGTGGCAGAGAAAGCATATCTCCTAGTTCCTGCCAGATAACAGAGTTGCTTTCTTTCTTTCTTTTTTTTTTCATGTCATCATTAATCTCTGATTTTATGCTTGGAGAATATAAAGTAAAGGTAAAGGTTTCCCTCGCAAATATGTGCTAGTCGTTCCCAACTCTAGGGGGCGGTACTCATCTCCATTTCAAAGCCAAAGAGCCAGCTATGTCCAAAGACGTCTCTGTGGTCATGTGGCTGGCATGACTAAACACCAAAGGCGCACGGAATGCTGTTACCTTCCCACCAAAGGTGGTCCCTATTTTTCTACTTGCATTTTTTACATGCTTTCGAACTGCTAGGTTGGCAGAAGCTGGGACAAGTAACAGGAGCTCACCCCGTTACGCAGCACTAGGGATTCGAACTGCTGAATTGCCGACCTTTCGATCGACAAGCTCAGCGTTTTAGCCACTGAGCCACCACATCCCCTTGGAGAATATATCAGGGGTTTAACCCGAGTGTTTTTTGATAAGTTATGTGAAGCTATTTTGACCATAAAAATAACTTTGCTTTATGACAGTATGACCACCTAAGTGGTACAGAAGTGACCTTCTTCAGCACTTACATCTAGCACAGAAGCAAGCTGTTTAGCTTGGCTGGCTAATTCTTTCAGCTGGATATTTCTCTCCTTCAGAGAAGCAATTTCTTCTTGCTTTTGGGTCAATGTCTCTTGTAGCTGTTGGGAATGAAAATGGTCAGGTAGGAATCCTGAGCACAGAATATTTCGCCAAAGAAATGTTGACAAGAACCAAACTTTGTGATCTATCCCTTCCTTTCTCTCCTCTACGCCTGAAAATTTTATCTTGCTAAAATGATTCATTGCTTAATTTTAACGAATGGCAGTTAAATTCAAGTTTTTTTAACCTATATTTTTAAACTGCACATTAAAAGATTAGCCCACAACATACAAATCAAAAAATAACTGAAATTCCAGAGGTGGGTTTCAGCAGGTCCTGACTAGTTCTGGAGAACCGGTAGCGGAAATTTTGAGTAGTTTGGAAAACCAGTAGTAAAAATTCTGACTGGCCCCGCCCCCATCTATTCTCTGCCGCCCAAGTGCCAGTTGATCAGGAGGAAATAGGGATTTTGCAGTAACCTTCCCCTGTATTGGGGAGGGAATGGAGATTTTACAGTATCCTTCCCCTGCCACACCCACCAAGCCACGCCACGCCCACCAAGCCACACCCAGAGAACTGGTAGTAAAAAAATTTGCAACCCACCATTGCTCTCTTCCTATTAATTACAGTAAAGCTGCCATATTTGGGGTACCAAAACCTGCACACCACTAGAGAGAGTAACAAGATAGGGAAAATACTTTGCTTCCATCTGGGAGTTACCTGGATTTTTTTTTCATCTCAGTAGGAGGCTCTTATTATTCATCTTGCTGCAGTGCTCAATGCATTACTGTTCGAATGGCTTGCTGCTAAGTAAATGCCTAGCTTGCTTTTCATAGCCATTCGCTCTTCATACCTGATTATTTTCCACAAGTGCATCCCCCAGCGCCTTTTGATTTTGATCTGCCAATTCTTTCCAGTATTGCTCAGTGGACGAGAAACTCTCTAGGTTTGGATCGATTTGAATAGGTTTCTGGAGGCAGGGACTGGGGGGGCTTCCATTATCTCCAGGGAAAGGAAAATCCAACAGAGGAGCCATCAGAGGGGAAGGATCTGGAGAAGAATAGGAATAAAATTATATAGTTGGTTGACTCCATTTATATTGCTGGCATGTGCACAATGTAGCTAGGGAGCAATTAAAGCTAAATTAAGCACAGAGCAAATAATGTTGGAAATAATGTCAGCGAATCTCAAAAAACAGCATCAGGTTGCAGACAGTTCTTTCCAGAAGTTTGAAATGTTGTCTTGAGATGAGCATTAAAATTAAACTAAAGGCTACAGGTTATTCAGCTATAGTATGATTAAGCAGCTATTACCCCATTTGGTTTTTTTATCATTTTTTTTTCAGTTTAAATTCCTTCACTCAAAAAGAACTCTTACCAATGCAAATAGTCCTCAACTTGTGACTACAATGGAGTCCAAGATTTCCATTGCTAAGCAAGACAGTTGTTAAGTAAGTTTTGCCCTGTTTTATGACTGTTCTTGCCACAGTTATTAAGTGAATCACTGCAGTTTATTAAGTTAGTAACATGGTTGTTAACTGAATCCGGCTTCTCCATTAACTTTGCTTGTCAGAAGGTCTGAATTTTAATCACATGATCATGGGGATTCTGCAAGGGTGGTAAGTATGAACAACCGTCATAAATCCCTTTTTTCAGTAAAAAATCCTTTGTAACTTTGAATTGTCACCAGACAAATTATTGTAAGTTGAGTATTACCTGTAGACATGAGTCTACACCCCTGCCAGTAGAACTTGATTTTCATCCACAGTGGAGTCAAGAGCAGTTGGAAGGACAAGTAGATTATAAAGGGAAAGATCATCCTAAATATTTCAGGGATTTGCCACTAGAGGGCATCAGATTAGGAAAATTTAATTTAAAGCACATTTCCCTAAACTTAAAATAATTTTTGCCAATTGTTAAATGGATCGTGTGAGCAAGTTCCCCTGTGCCCAGTAGGGCCTACTCTAAAGTATGCATGCATAGCTTTAAAATGGGAGCAAATGTTAAGGAATTACTAATTTATTTAATTTATTCAAATAGAATAGAATAGAATAGAATTTTTTATTGGTCAAGTGTGATTGGACACACAAGGAATTTGTCTTGGTGCATATGCTCTCAGTGTACATAAAAGAAAAGATACGTTCATCAAGAATCATAAGATACAACACTTAATGATAGTCATAGGGTACAAATAAGCAATCAGGAAACAATATCAAATCCCACCTTTATTATTTTTTATAAATAATTCAAGACAGCAAACATATCCAACATGCCTTCCTCCTCCTATTTTTCCCACAACAACTTGCAATATAAATTTACTAACAACCATACACAGGAGGAATTTGATTGGAACCACAGAAATACAGAAAGTGGATGAGAGATTGCCATTGATTAAAAAAATTATACCTTGCCCTGAAACAGGCAAAATCTACAGATAGCCATCTATTCACAGGCCTCTAGTTTCCTTGCTTTTAGTCTGAAGTAATTCTGATACAAAAAAAGATCTAATGTATTATAAAGTAAAGCTGTAGTACTCAGTTAATAAGAATTTGGAAGCAATTTAGAGTATTTAATTAAATGCTCCTCCATATTTTAGCACAATGGTTTTTCTATGTAAAGAAGATGAGCTCAAAAAATATTGGTGCAAATGAAGTGTGTATATGGCAGGTATTATTTTTCAAAATAAAAATAATTTTCCCTTCATTTCAAAGAAATGTGATTTAATGAGATGGGTCCATTGTTTATAATATCTATTCTTTCTCCTGGTCTTTTAATAAATAACAATGTTAAAACTGTGGGAGGTTCTTTTTAATATTTTTATTGTTTTTTATTGTTAAAAAACAATAATTTTTTTATTGTTGCCATCCAGAATTATATTTTGTAGATGGTTGGCATCTACAAAATGTAGATGTATACATATGGCAAATAAAAATAAATAAGCAAGGCCAAATAGAATGCAAGGTGGCTTTACAACCAAGTAGGCATACATGACATATGCAATGCATGGTCAATAAGTGAAATGAATTCTTTAATCAAGCAGTAGGCAGCCCATTGAAGAAATTCATAGAAAGGTTTCAAATGTTAATTAAACTCTCTGCATACTTGCCAGATAAGAAGTTATCCACGGCATCTCGAAACTCCTGGAAATCAAAGTCGTCCTCGGGTTGCAAGGAAGGGCTCTGAAAAAGTATAAAAGAAACGAACCCATTAGGGAAACTTTTCTCCCGAAACACCTTCTGACGTTTTTTTCCCCCCACGCGTAATAAACATCTTCACGCGCACCTGCAAATCCACTGGCCACCCCAGGCAGCGAAGGGAACAAGCTCGCACTAACATTGCTGCCAAAGGAAAAGAAGGCTGATGTTGGACTGTCACGGCCGTTAAGGGCAAGGGAATACCTATGGAGGTATTCGCTGCTATACACCGGTTTTCTTTCGGGGAGAAAGTTGGATCCCCCCGCCCTGGCGGATTTCACGCATTAGGCGCTACCATCACAGGCGATGCTTCGCCCTTCCGTGCCATATCGTGATTCTAATTGGCTAGATTGCGCGAGCCAATCGCATTCTTCCAACCCGGGCATTTCTCTGGTGCTGAAAGCAAGCGAATCCGCGCGAGTTTCCTTTTCCAGTGGCCGTGGTTGGCTGACTAGGTTGTGCCCCCTGGGTCACGTGAACACCGCCCTTGGTACGTTATTGCATCAGGCTAAGCTGCCACTTTATAAAATTGCTCACCAGCCTCTCTTGAGTCCGGAGGTGGGTCTGGTTTTTCTTTGAAGACGTTTCGCTTCTCACCCAAGGAGCTTCTTGGACCAGCTTTTTGGATGAGAAGCGAAAGGTCTTCAAAGAAAAACCAGAACGTCCCAATTGCAGAGGTGGGTTTCAGGAGGTTCTGACCAGTTCTGGAGAACCGGTAGTGGAAATTTTGAGTAGTTCGGAGAACCGGTAGTAAAAATTCTGACTGGCCCCGCCCCCATCTATTCTCTGCCTCCCAAATCCCAGCTGATCGGGAGGAAATGGAGATTTTGCAGTAACCTTCCCCTGGAATGGGAAGGGAAGGGAGATTTTACAGTATCCTTCCCCTGCCATGCCCATCCAGCCACATCCACAGAACCTGTAGTAAAAAAAAATTGAAACCCACCACTGCCCAGTTGCCTCTTGGAAAAAGCACCTTTGGGACAACCATGACCTGGATGACTGAGAATCTCCACAGACTTTTTCTGGTATGTTTCTCAACCTCTAAAGATCACCCACGGCTTTGGAATCTTCTAATGATCTCCCATCCAAATATTATCTAGATTTTAGATGGACCCCATCAGCAACCAGATCAAACACCACTTTAGTTTTTGGAAATAGCCAACGTCGGCTATCTGCTGCCATCTGGAGGATTCCTAAGGGTGAGGTCCAGGTTTCTAAATAAATCCGTGCAGGTTAATGGGAGGTCGCTTTCCCTAGAGGGAATGAATCCCAAGCGCTGCACCGGGACCACTTCTGTCCCAATTGCAAACCGAGACGAGGGAAATATCCTCACTCTAATGTAGCTAAATTAGCCGGTATAAATGCGTGATTCAAGTCACGCCTGTCTAAAATCGCCGGTGGGCAACGACTATCGATTTACCTGCTGAAGAGCGGCGTCTGTAGAAGCTTCCCGCTGAAAGGCTGAGGTGCAGTCCGCTAAATCTTGCCAATCGATGGTAGCAAAGGCTAAAAGGGAAACCACAATCATTAGAAACCAACTTTAAAGGCTGACAGACGTGTACGAGAGGCAGTGTGCAAGGAAAGCTAGGCTGGCGTTTGGCGAATCGCGTTGTTTGTTTGTTTGTTTGTTTGTTTGTTTTGCTATTGTAGCAGACGATTAAACTAAAGAAGCGTCATTTCTTCCTGAATAATGATCAGCCTCAAAAGCTGGGGTTAAAAAAAAAAAAAAGATACAGGTGGCGAAAGGGGCAACTGTGATGAATGTGTTAATAACAAGGTGACTAGAAGGATCGTTGATGTGTGTGAGTGAGTGTGAGCGTACAGTGCCTGAACGTATCTTCAAGCTAGAAAAGAAGATTGCAAACCGAACTCACCAGCCTCTATTGAGTCCGGAGATGGGTCGTTATGAATAATTATGGGGCAGCTTCTGGGATGCAAGATCTTCCGTGGCACCTGCGGGCAAACAGTTGCAAACAAAAACGTTAAACTTTTTCAGGCAGCCTGGGCACCTGTGTCTACCTCAGGGAACTCAGGGTCTCTTACTTCTTAAGCTGGGCTGCCCGATCTCTGCACAACAAAGCTTTACTTTTGATTGAGTTTGTATTGTGCAAGGGCATCTTTATCCTCTTTTTAAACTTAGAGCCCTGGTAGCGCAGCAGACTAAAGCACTGTTATTAACATCAGCTGCCTGCAATTACTGCAAGTTCAAATCTCACCAGGCTCAAGGTTGACTCAGCCTTCCATCCTTTCTAAGGTAGGTGAAATGAGGACCCGGTTTGTGGGGGCAATAAGCTGACTTTGTATAAAATATACAAAAGTATGAAGGCTATTGCTTAAGGCATTGTAAGCCGCCCTGAGTCTTCGGAGAAGGGCGGCATATAAATCAAATTTAAAAAAAAACTACACACACACATACTATGTCATATATATACCTATATGATATAGGTATATAGTTCCTGTCCTTTCTGTTATTTTACTCATGTCATATAGATATAGACATATATATAGATATATATAGATATAGATGATATAGAGATAGATATAGATGAGATAGAGATAGAGATAGATGTATGTAAAATAACCGAAGGCACTGGAGCCTGAATTTCTCCCTATGACACTTTCCTCCAATATCAGATGACTGGCGAAGGCAAGCAACTCTGCACATGCCCAGAGATGCTCGCTTCCTTATCGGTTCCCATCTTCGAGTGATCGAATGAGAAATCCTGGCTTTTTTTCTGGTCCAAAACGTGCCCTTGGTTTAACCACTGGGCGACGCTGTCTCCCGTCCTTCAGAGGGAGCAAGCGAGCGAACGGGAGAGAAGCTTCTGCTGTTCGCGAGGTCTGTTTTCCCAGCAAACGCACCTTTCTCTCTACTTTGCCCGTCTTTTTGCCCAACCTGCCGGCCAAATCTTGCACCCTGTTGGGACAGAGGCTGCCACAGGCTTGCCTGACGCCGCCACCGCCGGCTCCGCTGTCGCGCTTTTGCATGGCGACTCGCCCACCCAGAGAACGCGTCGCCTGATCGCTTGGCTTGGAGCGGTCTGGCCGCGGTTGGGGAGCGCGGCCTTCTCTCAGGGGAAGAGAGAGAGCCGAGGGGAGGCGGGCCGGCTGCAGTTTGAGCGCCAGAGGTGGCGCCTTTACCTTGGCACACACCAGCATGGCAACAAGGGAGCCCGGCCTCATCCCGCCGTCCCTCCTCTTCCAGCCCTTTCCCCGCTCCGCCCGGAGATTAGGCTCCATCGCCGCCGCCGCCGCCGAGCCTCGGAGCAGACGAACGAAATTGCGCCCTTTCTCTGCTTCTTGGCGCCCCCGGTCAACCGACCAGCGCGGCTGGAGTCCTTTTGTCATAACTCACCGCAGCCCCATCGGTGATGAAGGACAATCCAAACCTAGGCTCTCCATGTCTCTGAACATAGGCAGAGAGCTTTTTTGGGGGGTGGGGTGGGGTGGCTCTCTGGCTAACAGCCCCCGTCCTACTTTCTAGTCCTTTGGAAAGCGATCTCAAGGATCGCTTAACACGATGCCCGGGTTAAGTGTTCAGATTATGCGAAGTGTAAAGGCGAGTTAGAAGTTACAAGATTTTGCTGTCAGAATGTCAAATGGAGATTCTCAGTCATCCAGGTCATGGTTTGGCAAGAGGCAACTGAAGAAGCTTCTTGGATGAGAAGGGAAAGGTCTTCAAAGAAAACCCAGAGAGTCCAGTTGCCTCTTGCCTCTTGCAAAAGCCCCTTTTGGGACAACCATCACTTGGTTTGTTGTTAGAAGGTAAAAGCCTCCATGACACCTTTTAGCCACACCACACAAGATTGATTGATTGATTGATTTACTTACTTACTTACTTACTTACTTATTTATCCACATCCATTTATTTATTTATTTATTTATTTATCGGTAAGATCCCACAGAGTTGGTCTCCTCCGGGGGTCTCGTCAGCTAAACAATGCCGGCTGGCGGGCCCATGGGGGAGGGCCCTCTCTGTGGCTGCCCCAGCTCTCTGGAACCAGTTACCTCCTGAGGTCCGGACCACCCCCACCCTATTGGCCTTCTGAAAAGCGGTGAAGACCTGGCTTTTCCGGCAGGCCTGGGGCCGTTGATCTCGCTGTTGCAATCTTGTGAGATCCGGCCGTGAATGGTGTGAATGGGTTTTAATGTTTTAATTTTTAAATGTTTTTATAATGGTTTTTTAAATGCATTGTAAGCCACCCTGAGTCTTCAGAGAAAGGCGGCATATAAATTGAACTTATTATTATTATTATTATTATTATTATTATTATTATTATTATTATTATCATCATCTATCCATTTATTTATCCATTTATTGACTTTTTGGCCTTGACTTATTTATTTATTTATCTATCTATCTATTTGATTTGTGTGCAAGCCCACCTTGCCTAATCTTGGCCATGCCTGTCCCCAGGAATTGTGATAGAGGTAAGGATCCTGTGGTGGTACTGCGGAAAACCGTTATATTTCAGGGAGTTTAGTGACAGATTTTGATTTCTCCTTCATGTTAAGAAAGTTCAGAATTCCGTCTGAGCCATGTTGAATGTGCTTCATTTTTATTCTTGCTTGATGAAATAAGGAAAGGAAGGGGAGGAATCTTCACAAAACTGTATACAAGTAGTCCTCGATTTGCAAGTCTTTGAAATTACGAGGGACCTACCTCGGGGTACTTGCAATCTGAATTGGAAGTTCTGATAGCTAGGCAGATCCCCCCTCCCCCTTGTAGTAATCAGACCACATGCTGGACACTCAGCAACCGGCCCACACTTATAGTATTTGCAGCGCCCCTCAGTCACATAACCGCATTTTATGGCAATTTTATTGCAAACCAGCATTTACTTCTGATTTTCAGCAAAACTGGCCCACAGAGAACCATTTAACAACTGTGGTGTTTACTTTACAACCTCGGTGGTCACTTAATGACCATCACTAAAAAGGTTGTAAAATCAGATCATGTAATGGGCAGGCTCCATTAAGGCTCCATTAAGGCTCCATTAATCAAGGACTAATTGATTTTGTTCTCAGAACTTTTGTTTTCTATCCCAGAGTTAAACACCTTTCATCAAAATCAGGTCCTGAAGTCTTATTATTACAGAAGCAAGGACCAGATTTCAATAAAAATCCTACTACAGGTAGTCCTCGATTTATAACAGTTCATTTAGTGACCGTTTGAAGTTTCAATGGCACTGAAAAAAGTGACTTATGACCATTTTTCACACTTATGACCATTGCAGCATCCCCAGGGTCATGTGATCAGAATTCAGATGCTGTGCAACTGGTTCAGCTTTATGACGGTCGCAGGGTCCCAAAGTCATGTGATCATCTTTTGCAATCTTCTGACGAGCAAAGTCAATGGGGAAGCCAGATTCACTTAACAGCCGTGTTACTAATTTAACAACTACAGTGATTCACTTAAGAAATGTGGAATGAAAAGTCGTAAAATGGGGCAAACCTCACTTAGCAAATTTCTCACTTGGCAACATAAATTCTGTGCTCAATTATGGTCGTAAGTCGAGGACTACCTGTATTGGCCTTTGAGCTTTGGTACAAGTGTGCCTCCTGGCCGTTTTAGGATAGCTTTTGTTATTGAGACTCCCAGTGGTTTTAGGGAGAGCATCTTACTTGGTGTGTTATGCTTTTAAGTTTCTGTTTCTGCCTACTAAGGTTATTAATGAAGCTGAAAATGTCCTTACTTACTGTTGTGCTCATTGTCCTGGATCCTCATGGACTGGCATGTGGCCCCTCCTATCAGTGGTGGATTAAGGCTCACTGTTGCCCTAAGCAATAACAAATCTTGGTGCCCCCCTCCTTTGTACATACTGCACCAGTGGTGGGATTCAATTTTTTTTACTACCGGTTCTGTGGGTGTGGCTTGGTGGGCGTGGCATGGCTTGGTGGGCGTGGCAGGGGAAGGATACTATAAAATCTCCATTCCCACCCCACTCCAGGGGAAGGTTACTGCAAAATCTCCATTTCCTCCCGATCAGCTGGTACTCAGGAGGCAGAGAATAGATGGGGGCGGGGCCAGCCAGAGGTGGTATTTACCGGTTCTTCGAACTACTCAAAATTTCCGCTACCGGTTCTTCAGAACTGGTCAGAACCTGCTGAAACCCACCTCTGTACGGTACAAACGAAGCCAGACTTAGGCTAAATAGGATTAGGAATCCCCTTTACTGTGTTTAACAGTCTAGCTACTCACATCATGTATAATATGTGGCTGCCATTGTTCCCAATAAAATGTTTTAGTTTAGTTTTATCAATTTTTTTTTTTACAAATCTTCCTTGGTGTTTTTTTTCTTTCTCAACTTTGTGGTGCCCCTTTTGGGCCTGGTGCCATAAGCAGGTGCTTAGTCTGCTTAATGATTAGTACATCACTGACTCCTATTACCATCCCATGCCATGTTCTCTGAAAGTAGCCTGCTAACAAGATTTGTTTGTGCCAGATTTCATGCTAAGGAAAATTTTCTGAAATTTGGAAAACATCGTTGAAAACTCATCTCTTCTCCCCACCTCCCTACCCAGCATGAATATTGAAACATTTTTTTCATTCTCTGTGTTTTATTGACTTTTTAAATCATCTTAACAGTATTATTTTATTATTTTGTTTTTCTGTATTGCTTTGGAATATAGGAAGGAAGGCACATTTATAAACTATTTTTATGGGCTACCCTAAAAAAGAAAGATGAATTATTAGCAGGAAGTTAACACCATAGAGTTGGAACTTAATAGGGACAAAACAAAATGCAATCTTAAAGGAGAGAAAGGCAGTGCTTCCTTTTACATGCCGTCCATCACTGTCAGTCTTGTTTTACCAGAGCATTGGGCGGTGGTGTGTTGAAAAGAAGAACTAAGAAATTGTTGGGGCTTGCCCGTGTACAGCAGAAAGGGTATCACAAAAGGAGGGAGTAGTGGATGAAGACACACACATACAATACTTTTTGATGTTTTACAGTAGATGACTCTCTTTCCATAAGTTATAATAGTAAAGGTTTCCCCTGCCCAGTCCTGTCCAACTCTTTGGAGCGGTGCTCATCTCCGTTTCCTAGCCGAGGGAGTCAGTGTTGTCCGAAGATACTTTCCATGGTCATGTGGCCGGCATGGCTATATACCAAGATGCATGGAACGCTGTCATCTCCGACTGAGGTGGTACCTTTTTATCAACTCACATTTGCGTGCTTTTGAACTACTAGGTGGGCAGGAGCTGGAGCAAGTAACGGGAGCTCATCCTGGTGCGCAGAGCTTGGGTTTCTAACCTGGGTTATCAGTTTTCCAGCCGAAAAGCCTACTGTCTTAACCGCTGAGCCATCATGCTCTTTCATAAATTATAGTTAGATCCTGAAGGTGCAGTTTCAAATATTACTGATTAAAGGGGAATCTACTTAAGACTTATATATGTGGGACTGTGGACTATATTATGAATGCAGCGGCCCGGATGGTTTTGTGCAGACCCCGGTGTACACATGTATCACCTCTCCTGTGGGAGCTGCATGGGTTGCCGATTTGCTTCCGGGTGCAATTCAAGGTGCTGGTTGTCATCTTTAAAGCCTTTCATGGCTTGGGACCAAGTTATCTGAAGGACCATCTCTTGCCAGTCACATCTACCTAACCCATCAGAGCAGGGAGACAGGGAATGTTGCGGGTCCCATCCCCTAGGGAGATACACCTGGTGAAACCCAGAAGAAGGGCCTTCTCCATGGTGGCCCCCTCTCTCTGGAACATCATCCACCCAGAGATTAGAATGGCCCCCACTCTAGCACTCTTCCGGAAGGCGCTGAAGACCTGGTTCTGCCAGCAGGCCTGGGGAACCCAGAGCGGGATGGAGCTCATTAAATAGCTCGCGTGAGATGCTCTCGCTGGGGCGGGGTGATTTTATTATATTAATTTATTATATGACTCTTCTTTTATTAGTTTTATTATTTTTATATGAGGTTTTATAATCTGTAAGCCGCCTTGAGTTGCCATGTGCGAATAGGCGGCAATATAAATTCCATAAATAAATAAATAAAATAAATGAAACTGCTTCTTTTCTAAGTGCTTCTTTGATAAATTCATCTTTTTCGTAAGAGGAGACAGAAAACAATATAACAAATCACAATTAATGTTAAAAGCTTTATTAGATAAACATCTTTATAATTTGGTTGTCCTTCCTATGGCTTCAAACTGAACTATCACTTTAATAAATAAAGTACCAGACATAATATACATTGTTTACAACTCTAGGCTATTAGTTAAAAGTCAGTGCAATATAAGTCTAGTGTGCAAAATAGAATCTGAAATTATCTGTAAAATATTAAAGAAGCTGCTCTTTGATTTTATTCTAAATCAATACCACAGCTTCTATTAAT